GAAATGCCCTAATATCAAAATTTTCTAATGGGAGAAAAAGAAAATATCTATTTATTTCGGCCAGAAGAAAAAAAAATTTTACAGATGATAAAAATGTGAATGTTAATGTAATATGCATGTGTGCTGCAATTGTTGTAAGAGAAATTATTATAAAAATATAAAGTTATTTTTAATTATATCGTTAAATAGTAAAAGTTGGAATAAAACTGTTTTCATGTTTAGAAAATTAAATTTCATATGTATTGATATTTTCAGAAATTTGTTTCACTGAAGTTGAATTGTTCTAAACTGGTTTATCTATAAATTATCTAATTTTTAAATAGATAAACACACGTAGTCGATTTTCTGATACGTATGTGTAAAATGGATGTACGACCATGTCTGAGATAAACAAGCATCTATGAGACATCCCTGGAAATGCAAAAGGACTTCATATAATAAAAGTTGCATTACTGAGAAACTATAGTTGGATTATATCACATAAGGATTCAACTGTAGTATTAAGGAAAACAATTTCGTGTTGCTGAGATTCAAAGCGAGGAAAAAGCTACGAAAAGGAAACAATGAACTCACGGAAATTGTACTTTGGAATATGTCTGAGAGTTCTTTCACACTACCCTTTCCCAATCACGTAAGAACTTTCTTCCAAATCAAACACAGAGCGTAGATTCTCCAAGCAGAAACTACTCTCTCATCATCCCCGTTCCATACCTTGCAGATACATACAATAACTGCGCGTAGTACGTAGGTGGCATTGCAAACAAAAGATTTACTGGAACGTGCTCGGAAAACGTCCAGACTCTTTCCTTGCGCTTCTCCATCTGTGAGTTCGATCACGTATTTTTTTAGGGGGTGCCTATGAATTATTTATTGTCTGCTCGGCAGCCTTCTAACAGCATTGCGTGTCGAGTGACCGTTTTGCCGGCTGCCTTCCTTTAATTCGAGGATTACATCGTTTTAACGCTTTTGCCACCACCCCAGAGTGCCAAAGCACACGTGATTCTGTGTTCCCTAAATCGTGATTTTTAGATTAGATAGTCTCGGAATTCAATATTCAATGATAGCTCGGAGACTGAAAATCTATATGAAACTTGTTAGGGTGATGTTTTGTAATGCGTAGTTGCTGTTTGCCATTTAATGGTTCTTGTAGCGTAATGGCTTCAAATCAGACTACTAAGGTTTTTGCGGCTTATTCAAGATAGCTTTTACTGTTATTAAATATAATTTCGGAGAAATTAATGTCGGTTTCTGTAAACAATATAGTAGAAACTAGTGTGCATAATTTAGAGAATTTGTAAATTATATCTAATTTTTCAAAAAGTATTGAATCAAAGGTACTAATTATGCCGCCGAAGAATTGTGCACATTTTAATCAAATACGTAAGCGGACACGTGCGTATCTGCGGAGCTATGGTTGTGGAGGTGATATAAGAGCATTAAGTATTTTTGGCGGTTTGTGTGCTCATACTCCTTTACGACATTCACCATGTTTCTCGCAAGTGTTGGGTAAATTTTATAAGGCATCAGGTAAAACAAGTAGCCACAAGCGTGTGGATGACAGAATGATGTGGAGAATTGTTGGTAGATTGGAAGCAGGCTAGTCACAAGCGGAAGTGGCTACAGAGCTCAGTGTAACGTCCAATGTCGTCTTCAATTTGTGGAAAAGTTTCAGAACACTATATCTGGAGAAGGTCGATCAAGATCCACAACGAAGAATGAGGATCGTTATTTGACACAGGACTACGACTACAACTTCACAGCTCTCACACGAACTGTATAGTGCGAATCTAATCCGAGTTTCACGATGCACAGTTTCCTGAAGGCATCATGGGGTAGGGCTGTATACCAGAAGACCTACTGTTTAGGTCTCGCTCACTGCGGCACATAATAGAATTCTTTTAGATTAGTGCAGACAACATGCGACTTGAACCAGACTTCTGTGGAGCACCAAGTTTTCTATTCTGCCTGGACACTGATCCGCGGTACTGTATTTGGAGAGAGCGTGGAAACAATAATATCCCTCCGTCATCACACCGCCATATGTGTTTGACAAAGACTCCCTGTCTAGTATGATGTATAAAGAGGCAATCTTAGAGCCCAATTTTCCCTTTTTCAGGGGCGTAGTTTGGCCTGAGTTCCTGTTAATGGACGACAAAACTCACCCACATAAGTCTGAGCTAGTTGACGATTACCTGGAAAGTGAGGGATTGCGGGAAGTTATCCCCTCCTCCAATATTTCTTGCCTCCCTTCGTTTTCGTATCCCAATATACAACTTTTAGATGCTACCAAAATTATGAAAAATAACTTTTGACGTTGCTGTTCGCCCCTCGAAAAGAAATGTTCGATGATTAAATCAAGGTACAAATGAGGTATAACCAAGTTATGCATCATATAAATTAAATATTTTACTGTTAGGATCAATACAAATGAATTGGGGCAGAGATGAAAAGACTTATAAATGACAAACGTATGGATAGTTCTTAGATATGCTATATAAATTTGTATGTTGTTTATTTGATATAAACTCTGCATCTTTATTTACTTTGAAAATTTATATTTTGAAATGCACTGATTATAATATATTGCTAAAAAATGGAATGAATTGCATTGAATGTTTTAATTTTTCAAGTAACATGTAATTATTAATTTTTCGTAGGACGCTTAATAAAAATAACATTACAACTCTTGGAAAGGACCTGTTCGAGGGAATGAAGAAACTTCGAGTCCTGTAAGTATTCGAATCCAATTTATAAATCTCCGTGTAAAAAATATCATAGTTAATGATAAAATAATTACAGGGAAGTGTAAACATTTCTGTTTTGTAAAACTTCGATGCATGCTGTTATATACATGTCTTTAGTACTACTAGGGGGTGAAAATTTTCTGTTGTAGTATAATACTATTTCGGTCGCGTAATTGACGTGCACCTAAAAGTCTTGAGAGCAAATGAGCCGTCCAATCAGCGGCAGGGGAATTCATTGCATTTGAAATGGTGTGTGTGTTAGCATGTTATAAATAGAATGTATGGTAGATATATTAATGGCATGTTTGCTGCCAAGTGCATTCCTACTTTACAAAGCACGCAGGGACAAGTAATAGTCAAGATCAAGCAACCACTGACTAGACTACCACGAGTGGGTATCCACAACGTATCTCCTGACGTCCAGCCAGAAGAGATAGAAATGCACTCGCCTCAGAACTCCACCTCACCAAAACAACAGCCAAAGTCATGTACCGACTCAAGGACAGAGGAAACACCGTCAAATGGATACTTGAATGTCAACCAGCGGCATTTAGAAGCCTCCTCCAGTCATCCAAGCTCTTCATTGGGTGGATAGGACATAGGATTGCTGAGCACTTCGACACAAAAAGATGTTTCCGAGTTTGGCCATCTGCAGCAAACATGCACCAATAGAATCTACTGTGCCTTCTGCTCTGGAAGTCACAGTGTTAAGGACTGTCACGCCAGCAGGCCAACATGCATCAACTGTTCAGACGCCAACTATAAAACGCGCAGCACAATGCCATGCAACCATCCGACCTATGATACCAACTGCCCAACGTATGGACGATACATCGAACGCGTCAGAAGGAGCACTCTCTATGAATAATGAACAAGAGCCGAACAGCACGACAACAGAACAAGCGATACGCGGGCCAACCCAAGAAACTTCAAGTGCGGAAGCTAATTCTAATCAAGCACAGATAAAGTGCACACAAATTAACTTACAACGGGCGGTAGCCGCGACCACGCAGGTAGTCCAGCATGCTATTATTCAATATAACTTAGATTTCTTGATAATTCAAGAACCTTATTGTCGCGAGGGCCAAGTGGCAAGCCTACCACTGGCATGGAAAATTTTTCAGAAGAAAGCCAATGCAGAACAAGCACCACGGGCAGCCATTGTCTGCTGCAACCCCTCCTGGTCTCCATACGTAGTAACCACAGAAAGAGACTTCGTTACTATTCTAGTCATCTTTGAAGAGCAGCAATTCCTCCTAACCTCCGTCTACTCCCCGCCCACGGAAGGTCTTACGGATGTGACTTGCAACTTTATACGAGTGAAACAGAAATGCCCAACAGTACCTCACGTCGTTGGAGGAGATTTCAATGCACATAATACTTATATGGGGCTACCAAGACACAACGCCTAAAGGGCGAGACATGGAAGACTTTATGGCCTGTCACGATCTACATTTACATAATAGTCAAGGGGCACAACCAACCTATGACAATACCTATCATAAAGGATGGCCTGATCTTACACTCTCAACTGCTAATTTTGCCAACAACTTTAGCTCATGGGATGTTCTAGATGATGAGAGTAACTCAGATCATCGATACATCCACTTCACACTAACACTTGAAGCCAGCATTAATATCCTCCAGAGATTCAAACTACCGGGCGGAAAGATACGACGACTGAAGAATGCCTTTCAGGAGCTGCTCATCAGAGAAGAAGACATACTAGAAGAGCTTACCAACCCCCAAGAACTGGATGATTACACAGACCACATTCTGTCATTACTCAGACAAATATGTCAGCAGATCCTCCCTACAAGGACCGCCAAAAACTCCAAGGCATATCCTGGTGGACGGGAAGACTGAGAGAGATAAAGCAGAGGTGCAGAGCTCTGCGCCGCCGCCTCAGATCTGCTACCAACGAATTTGTAGCTTCCAACATCCTTACGGCCTTTCGGCAAGAAAGGGCCGCCGCCTACAAGAAAGCAATTCTTGAAGCTAAAATTAACAGCTGGAGATCTTTCTGCACCAGTAACAGTAATCCATATGGAATTTTACACAAACTGGCAACGCAGAAGATCTTCCAACCAGCGCAAGTACCAGTTTCAACCAACAGCACCACATACTATGGACGTAGCGGCCTCCACCGTCCAAGGAACTTTTAAATGCTATCTTTCCCACAGATGATACACAAGCAGATACTTCAGAACAGAGGCAAATTAGAGAAGATACAAGCTCGCCATGCACACCGAACGATATACAGTTTTCTGCACACAGGAGATACGTAATATCTTCCGGTATCTGCCACTAAAAAAGGCCCCGGGTCCAGACGGACTCGATTACGCAATTATCAAAGTTGCATATCAGGCACGACCATCCTACTTCCATAAATACTACAACCAGCTTCTGCATTATAAAATATTCCCCACAGCTTTCAAAAAAGGCAATGTGGTATTATTTTTAAAAAAAGGATAAAGACCCCCTAGTATCGAGTTCCTTTAGGCCAATTTGCCTTCTGTCGGCGATGGGAAAGATTTACGAGAAGCTCATCGTCAACAGGCTAAAATTTCATCTACATCAATACCAAAGCATTAGCCCAAGACAATTTGGCTTCAAAACAAGGCAGTTCTACCATTCATGCCCTGCAGCGAATCCATGAAGTCATAATTCAGAACAAATCGCAGGGCTACCAGACGGCTTTTATATCGATAGATTTGCAAAGTGCGTTCGATACCCTCTGGTGGCCTGCCATCAGGCAGGCCCTCAGAGAGGCAAGATGCCCAAGAAATATCTATCAAGTTCTGGACAACTATCTGGCAGACCGGCAACTGATGATCTCTAACAACAGTAGTACTGTTTCAATAACACAAGTGAGAGGATGTCCACAGGGGGTCCTGTGCAGGGCCCTCTGCTATGGAACCTCACCTTTAATAAAGTCTTAGAGGCAAGGTGGCCACAACATACTGTGTTAGTTGCATACGCGGACGACGCGGCATTACTGGTCAGAGGCCGCACACGCGCTGAGCTTGAAGCCCATGGCAGTGAGTCATGCACTATCTTTGCCAACCTCTGCGAAGAGCTAAAACTCAAAATATCCACCACAAAGTCCACTGCTATCATCTTTCCAAGAAAGGGTACAAATCCAACACGTAGCCCATGTATCAAACTACAAGGCCGGAATATTAAGGTCGTAAAAACTTTAAGATACCTTGGGGTAATATGGGACCCAGGTCTGACTTGGCTTCCGCATATCCAGGCACAAAAGATTAAAACATCTGCAATTGCCAGGAGATCACGACAATTCCAAGGCCGGAACTGGGGACGGAATCCCCACATTCAAAAGGTACTTTATAAAACTGTAGCTGAGAAGGTGGCACTCTATGCGGCAGCTATATGGGCACAACCCATGACCGCACGCAAGGTTAAGCAACTCCTATCACTACAGCGCCCATTCGCCATAGGCTTATGCAGAGCCTACCGCACCACTGCAACTTATGCAGCACTCACCTTGGCAGGCATCATACCACTTCATATCCAAGCGGAGCTAGAGGCCACATATACTAAAATAATACATCTACAGAAAGACGCAACCTTTGCAGGCACCTTACATAGCCCTGCAAATTACGAACATCCATGTACTCCTCTCCACACGCACCCAGCACACAAGGGACTTGGCATTCACACTATCCTCAAACCGTCACGAAGTCAACCAGAAGGAAACCCTAATATGCACGCGTTCTACACAGATGGCTCGAAAACTGCTGAGGGTGTAGGTAGTGCCTTTATATACTACAGGCAAGGCCATGCTGCACACCATTGGAAAGGGCACCTCAATCCAAATAATAGCATTTTTCAAGCAGAAGTAGTTGCCATAACAGCTGCCATTGAATACGTGGCGCTCAAACAACATCACACATGTGCAGCTTTATACAGACAGTATGTCGACACGCTGCTTGCTCTTGACAAACATAGTCACGCCTCCCCGCTGATCATACGACTGCAGCATATCCAAAAGATAATCGGCAACGCACATGTTGACCTAGTATGGATTAAAGCCCATGCAGGTAAACATGGGTAATGAGACAGCGGATGAACTCGCTAAAGAGGCTGCTTCGAACCAAAATGCCAGACCGATATCAGTATCAGCACCACCATCTTTCCTCAAAAGTCAACTGCGAAATGCCGCTATCCAGTGGTGGCAAAGAGAATGGGATCAGGCGACACGGGAAGGAGAGCGCATAGCTTCTTGCCAAAAGTAACCACGGAGCGCCTTATGGCAATGGCTCCCTTACCAACTTCATTACTGGTCATGGTCCCTTCCCGGATTACTTCTACCGCCGCACCATCTCAAAAACGGATCGCTGTGTTTGCGGGGGGTGAGGGGTCACCGGACCATTATATCTTTCAGTGCCCACTCACGGAACAGTTCACTTCCCGATACCAGCCAATATCTCAGCATTTCACAAGTTCCTCCTAGCCAAAAACAGAGCGGCCATAAATAAAATCTGCAAAATAATAATCACCATTGCAGCATATGGCCAGGACCTCTGTCAACCAGAGTAATAGGGCTTACATGCATTACTTGCACTGACATATGCACTCTAATGCTCTACCATCTAATCTCTGACTGCATAGAGAGCAGAAGGAAATTGAACACCATTGTTATAACCTATTAAATGTTTTTTTTTTTTTTAAACCGTGCCTGTATGTTATTTCAAATGTACTTCAAATGCCAGATGTTAAACAGTCTCCTGTATGGCCATGTATCCACACTTATAACTATTAAATAAACTCCAGGGGAGGACTCGGGACATATGCCTGTTAACCTCTGTTAAGCTTCAGGCGTCCCCGTCCTCCGTCACCTGTCACCTGCCAAGTGCATTCAGAACTTACATGCAAATTTTTCCATATGCGGAAGGACTTAACCCTTTGCACTCCAGAGGTTGCTCTCGCTCACCCTGTGATTTGATGCCGCAACTCGAGAG